TTTTACAATAAAACTTTTTCATCATTTTTAGAGCCAATGCGCTTTAACCCTGACCGTTTTATGCCTGAAAACAAGCATCTTCTGGTTCCATACACCTATATTCCGTTCGGAATTGGAGCGCGCAATTTTAAGATTTTTTTGCTTGATAAACAACAAAGTAGTTTAATCTGTTTCATTTCTTTGCAGGCGTCGGCATGAGATTTGCTTATCAAGAAATCAAACTTTGCCTAGCTCAAATTTTGCGTCGTTTTGTCTTTGAGCCCACTGTCGACACTCCAAGCACATTGAAGTATAATCACGCAACTTTGCTACTGCACGCTCTTCCATTTGATCTTAAAGTGAGACGTCGTTGACAATAAAAATCAGTTTAATGCAATACCTGTTGAATTACTTTTGTGTTGTCAGCAAGATTAACTTGCTAGTTGCTAGTAACAACACCGAGTTTTTACAAAACAGATTTTTGTAAAGTTTAAAATATTTTATTTGCACTAGTATTTTCACTACTTAGAAAAATAAAAAAACTAAAGATGCTCTTCCTCGTGCATATTCACAAGAGCGCATCGTACCTGAAATACTTTAAATTGCACTTGTCGGACAATGCGCGGTCAATTGCAGGGCAAATGTTATCTTTTGTTCAACTTTAGAGTCAAGCAAATATATATAAACCAATTTTCGAAATCAAAGTTATTGTTAAATGCAAATTTTGATAAAAATTATAAAACAAAATTAAAATGCATAACAAAAAAATGTTTGTGTTGTGTTTATTATTTTTACATGGACTATTTTGCAACGGTAAAAATTTTTTATTGCTTACTTGTATCTAATTAAAACAAAATTTAGCAAATCCAATAAATGAAATCTCAACAGACATGGAATCGTTAATAAACTCAACTCCAAACCATCTAGTTTTAAAGGTAACATATCATTTGAAAATAACTCATAGTTTTTAAAAAATTATTTTTATTTTAAAAGATTAAACGTGCTAAAACAAAATTTAATCCATTACTTTTGAGAAAAAGAGAAATACAAACTATTTAATTGTAAACAATAAATTGTAATTGTACATATTTTTGTAAATAATAAATATATTTTTTAACTTGTAAAAATCTTTACGTTCAATAAAAATGTTTTTGTTTGTCATTTAATGTTTAATGAGCTGTAACTTGAGGTAAAAAATTAGTCTAATCAGTCACTGTCATAAACTACTGACAAAATAAATTTGTTGCTGTTGTTGATTTAATAGTCACTTCAAACAAACTTAAAAGTTAAAACTTAAAATAACATTTCAGATAAAATGTTCTTTGGGGAAAATATTCAACATTTGGTTGGTGCTTGGTAAATGATCGTTACTTTTTCTTCTGATCTTTTTGTTAACTTTTAAACAGTTGCAAAAACTGTTTCTCAGTTTTTGCCATATGATTTTAGCGTCATGCTAAATAATAAAAAATTTAGTTTTAAACTGTACATTTTGAAACAGTTATTTACCTGAAAATCAAGGGAAGTCAAACTGTAGATAAAAAGATTTAGCATACTGTTAGCCATGGCAAGCCAGTAGAATGCAATGTAGATGCCAAGCATTGAAAAGTATTGCCATTCTAAGCAGAGCGAAAACTTGAAAGTAAGATGAAAAAATTGCAACATTTTGATAGGAAGCCAGCATATGGTGAATGCCAGAATAACAATTAAAAACATTTTTGAAATCTATTTTTGTAATCAAATTCATTTATAAGCAAATGTTTTTTATTTCTTTCTAAACTTACCCTTTGACGATCATCCAGTGATACTTCTTTGTAATGTCGCCTGACAGTAATTTTGTATTTTAGTGGCTATTTTAGAAAACTTCAAATTTTAAAAGCGCTTGAAAACATCAGTGTAGCATTACCTGAATTGCTTTAGCCACGTTTTTTGTGTTGTTTGTAGTGGGATTAAAATTGACAGCGTATGCTACGTTGCCATTGCGCATACTTCGCTTGACTTTGATCTGAATAAACCGGTACGTGTAGATTATGAGAATACTAGGAATGATGCACGTGAATATGAGGTTGGCGGAAGCCAGTGCCAGGCGTTCCAGGTCACTGTGGTCATTCAGTGGGGCACACTCTACGTAAATGTGCTCGCCAACGGCAAAGGACACTGATCGAGTGCTGTTCAGCGCATAGGCATAGAGAATGCCCAGCGCCCAGACACTTAGTAGAACTTGTTGACGATGACACTCCAGCAGGTGAAAGTAACGATAGGTGGTATTCTTCACAACAAGATAACTTGGCAAAGTGAAAACGTAAAAATCAAATATTAATTTTTTTACTAGGCAAAACTTACCGCTCAACTGCAATGAGTGACAAAATGAGTGATGAAACAAAGACTGCAAGCAGCTTCAGATACTGCACCACCGGACATAACCAGCTGATGTAGTTCCAGTAGCCAAGGACGATGTTGGAGTACTGAAAGGGCGCCAAAAGACCGATCAACATGTCGGCGATTGCCAGGTGAATCAGGTAACCACGAATTTTACTCCGCTTCCGAGTTTTCTGACCCCACGCTTGAATGACAATGACAAAGCAATTGCCAAAAAGGGAGATGATGGGAATGAGATGAAAGAGAGTGGCAAGAGTCATTCGCACCCAAGTGGACTCGATGTTTGGTAAACTGTTCAGATAGAAACAGTCACCTTCAGTTTCCGTTTCAAATTCAATTTGACTTTCTACAGTTGTTTCTTCTGTGTTTAGATGAGCCATTGTTATTGTCTAGCATTGATGAAAGATTGCAAGTTTGAAAATTGCTGAAACACAACTGTGATGCAGTTTCTTTGAAAGCTTGTGCACTTGTGACAATTTTTCTATAGGGACAATCTCTCTTCTTTCTTTTAATTGGCTAATTGATCTTTCTGTCTCAAGCACTCGTCTAATCAATCTGCTCATCCCTACAACCCCTAAAATAAAATGTTTAATTTTACGCAAAAAATAAATTTTTTAACTAAAGAAGTTTTATTATTTAATACGTTTTCACCAAACATTTACTTTCAGTTCAAATGGTTTCACATTTAAAGTTGGCTTGAACTTTTTAAATTCCAGTTTGACAGGTGTTTTAGGAGTTGTTTGAAAGTTAAATTCACCTATCATCTTGGCAATGCACAACTTGATCTCCTGGTAAGCAAATCTCATGCCGATGCCTGCAAAAAAATGAAACAAACTAATTAATCTCACGTTTATCAAGAGAAATTCCTGGGATTTCTCCTGGGATTTACGTGGACCTGCTCCGAAGGGCAGGTACGTGTAGGGAACCAGTTTATCCTTGTTCTCTGGCAAAAACCGTTCCGGGATGAACAGATGTGGATCGGAATAAAATGATTCCGAGTGATGAATCGCCAAAGTGGGAATATTAACCATCATGCCCCTCTTGAGCAGTGCACCACCAATGCGATACTCATCCGCCCCGGTGAGTTTTCTCTCAATTCGTTTTATGGGCGGGTACTTTCTCAGAGTTTCGTGAACTACCGCATCCAAATAGGGCATTTTAGTCATGATGGTCGAATAGTAGAGATCAGAGTTCGCATCCAAATCAGCCAGTGTTTCTTGCACTTCGTCTTTCAGTTTTTGCTGAATGCTTTGATTTGATGCCAACTCAAAAAGACAATGGGTGATTGAAGCGCTGGTTGTTTCAAAGCCCGCTAATAATGAAAAAACAATTTTTAAACAAAATTTAAATTTTTACAAAAAGTTTACATACCGACAAAAAAGACCAAGCATTGTGCAATGATTTCATCAACTGAAAGCGTGGCTTTGTTGATGACCTTTTTCTGCTGATTGTTTTTGGTGCTATCATCTTAAAATAATGTGTTACATTAGAAGATTTTCATTATAAAAATTATGCAACTACTTACCAGGTAAGTCAATTTGAGCAGTTAACTTTTCANAATTTTCATTATAAAAAAAATTATGCAACTACTTACCAGGTAAGTCAATTTGAGCAGTTAACTTTTCAAATCCTCCGTCTGCTAACTCTGACTCGTCGACAAAAGTGTCCATTAGCAGTTGCACAAAATCGTGGCGATTTCCCTTGGCACCGTTCAGTTTTTGCTGTCGAATGATTTCCCGCACCATACTGGAGAGATACTCAAAACTGTCCTTATTGAACGGGTAGCGAATGCCAGTGATGTTATTAAACCACCGTGGAAAAATCAGAAATGAGATGATTCGAAGATAGGGTGAATCAAAGAGGTTCATGCCACTGGTGATCACAGCGTTCTCTTTGCCATGTGAGCTGTTGGCATTAGTTGTTGTGGCAAAAACAGTGCTCGAAATGACATCAATGGCAAAACCTGTGCAGACTTCTCTAGCCTGAATCACGCCGCCATTTTCTTGAATTTGCCTATTCAGGTACTCTTTTAACTGCTCAACGCATTTGTTCATCAGCGGAAGCATCTTCCTCAGTCTGGCCGATGTAAAGGTTGGTCCTGTTGTTTGGAGTTTGTTAGTATTAAACAAAAGTAAAAAAACTGGGTTTTAGTTACCTGTGATTGTTCGAATGCGTTTCCATGAAGAGCCTTGAGCAAAAAACTGTCCGTTGTTAACTAGTTCGTGCATAGTGTTCAAGTTTCTGCGATCGACAAAAATGTGGAAGTCTTTGACCAAAATCTGCTTGACTAGTTCAGGATCAGTCACGGTGAGAATGGCCTCAGTGCCAAAATATACGCCATAAACTTGACCATATTTCTGGGCCCAATCGAGTTCTAGGCGGGTGGAATCGGATGTTTCATACTCAATCAAGTTGCCCAGCCGAAGCAGACTTGCTGGTGGGCCGGGAACTCCTTGTTTACTCCAATAGTTGAGTTTGCTTTTGAAAAGACTAAATAAAATATTTATGATAAAAAAAGTAAATGTATAAAAGTTAAAACAACTTACAAAAAGTACAGCAACGCAAAAAAAGGCAACACCAAAGTCACTATTGTTAAAATCATATTGAAATGTTATATAAATTAATTATTCAGATACAGGAGTTAAAGTAACTCACAAAATAACTTTCAGTTTATATACCCACCAAGAATTGTCTATTTCAGATTTTTATTTACAGTTTGAGAAAACGCAAACTAGTGTAATCAGTAGCCAAAACTTGTTTGATAACGATGCACACACGGTCTGAATGCTCTTAGCGGTCTAAATGTCCGAAAAAGTCTAAATGTACTGCACAATGCGCATGACTGGCAACAAGTGTCAGCTTGCATATTGGGAGATTGCATTTTTTATTTACAGTAAATTGAACAACTCATGAACGACTGGAGACTGCATTATTGGATCAATTTTTCCATGTAGTTCATGAATTTTAAAGTTGATGTAGACAAATTCAGCCATCAAGTTTATCAAAATGTCATGTTTGGCTTTTGCACGAGTTTCATTTTGGTATTTATACACCAAATACCGAAATAAAAGATTGCTGTAGAT